GCCGGGGCCACGGCCGCGCGCGGGGGTCGCAGCGACCGGCTTCTCGAAATCGGCTGTGTTCCATCAGCTTGGTCCTCAGGCGGGCCTGGAAAATGACTAAGCGATGCCCCAAGTCTGTAGTTTCCCTCCAGTCCTCCTGCCGGCCCGGGGGGCTGCGCGGGGAGGCCCAGAGCCCCCGGCAGCACCGTAACCCGCTCGGCCACGAAAACCGACCGAATCGCCGACATAAAGGACACGCGTTCGGAAAGCTTTTATCTGGAGGCAAGCGGGACAGCTAGGTCAAAGCGGGGGGACGGAGAAGTTAAGGGTGAAGGTCGTAGGGCGCGCGGCGGCCGCGCAGCAAGCGGTCGGCGGCCCGGGCACGTTGGCCAGCGCGGCCTGGAGCGCCTCGCCGTTCTTCTCTCCGCGGTCCCCCGGCCCTTCGCTCTGCTGGCCCTTCATCCCCACAGTTGAGGCGTTGACAAGAAAGGTCCGCCACCTGGCGCTGCGGCGGCTGGCCTCCGGCCGCAACGGGGGAGCGAGAGGCGGCAGGGCTGGGTTCGCCGCTCGGCGCAGAGGCAGCGATCAAACCCAGCGCCGGGGACGGAGGTTTCCCTGCAGGGAGTTTGGCTGCCGGGCAGCGACATTAAAAGTACGGCATTTCCTTCCCTCCTCGCCAGATTTCCTCAGCGTACAAAGCTTTTCCTCCCTCTCCCCTCCCAGAAGTCTTGCAGCTGCAGGGGTGCTGCGCTCTCTCGCAGGAGAGCCTGGACACCGCTGCTGTGGGGCGGGAGAAGGCAGCCTACGTTCACAGGAACGCGGCACGGGAGTCAGGCAGCAAACGCCGCGTGTTATAGCAGAGGTGCGACCCCATCTCCTCCTGGCCACGTTTCTCAAGAGCAAAGCAAGATGGAGCAGGAAAAGCAGTGGTCACAGGCATGACACTGTTTAATATGCTTTGGGAGCTGCATGGTTTGTGTTGTGGTCACCACCCCGTGACAGGAATTCCTTTTGCAGACAGAGCAAGCCTCACCGTTCCCTTCATTTTTCAGCCTCCATCTTCCAGCCTCCATCTTCCTTCACTCCCTAAAGCCCTCGCCTCCTACTTCTCTCTGCCTGCATACAGCTGCAACTCCTTATCAGCCTCTCCCACCCAGGCTCCCAGCAGGGTGCCGGTAAGGCCACGAGTTTATCTCCCCGCCCCACCAGCACACTTCGGGTCCGGGGAGTCACATTTCCAGGAAACAAGAAAGCGCAACACTTGGGTTTGTTTTTTTTTTTAAACACACTTTAATATCCCGTTACTTAAATCTGTGGATCTTCTAGCGCGCTTGCAAGAAGAGCGAAGAGACGACAAGCCCCGGCTGCGCCAGCACGGCCGTCTTCCCAGCGAGGCT